CAGCCCAGCGCTGGTGGACCGGCCCAGCACAAGGCAGCCTGTCTCTCCTCGCAGGTTCCCAAGCCGGGCTGTGCCAGCCTGGGGGTGCAGAGCTCCCTCGGGGTGCACTGCAGCATCCAGCGCCTCATCAGCCGCTTCACTGACCACTTCCCTCCAGACCTGCTGCTCCCGGGGAGCTCTGGGGAGCAGAATCAGTCCCCTTCGGGAGAGGAGCCAGCCCATCTTGCTACTCGTCCTGTCCTGCAGGTCCTCCTTTCTCCAGAGGTTCCCTACCAGACCCTGGCGGGCTTTGTGAAGGGATCCCAGGGTTTGCACAGGACCAGCCCCGGGCACTACGAACGCCTGGCTTGCCTCCTCCTCCTGCAAGTGTGCACGGGGCTGGAGTACCTCCGGACGCAGAACGCAGGACAGGGGGACCTCCGCCCCGAGAACCTGCTGCTGGTGAGGTGCCCATGTCCTCCCTGGAGCCAGCAAGGCAAGGAGGCAGCGCCGGGGCTGGCCCTTCCCAGGCTGCTCATCAGCAGCTTCTTCAAGGTCAAAGCCAAGCGAAGACCTTGCTCGACCAGCCAGGAGCAGGACTGGACCGAGGGGCTCGCTGCACCGGCGGCAGATGAGCTGAACGTAGGCGTGCTGATCTATCGCATCCTGCACGTGGACATCTCTCTGGAAAACGCCTTGGGGTTCAGAAGCAACAGGCTTCCTGAAATCCCCTCCCAGTCCATCTACTCCACGGGACTCAAGCGTCTGGCCACGCTGCTGCTCCACAGGGATCCCTGCAAGAGAGTCTCCATGGCGCAGGCGAGGAGCATCCTGCAGGTCCTGCTCTGGGGACCTCGCCAGGAGCTCTTCGCCAGGAGCAAGAAGACCCTCACCCTGCTCCGGAGCTGGGTGGAGGTGAAAAGGGCTCTGCTGCTCCTGAAGTTTGCAGAGAATTCAGCTGGGGCAGGGGCAAGCCCTGGCCTCGAGGAGTGGCTGTGCTGCCAGTATTTCAAGGATGTCACCGAACACACGCTCTACCAGGTCACCCAGGCTCTCTATGCTCCCTGAACACAACCTGACGTTCTCTCCACCCAAAAGGTCTCCCCAAAGCCAAGAGCCCATGGGGACCAGGTGAAACCCACCAGCTGCCATCCCTCACGAGGAACCCAAACTGGTCCTGGCTGGGAAAATCCGCAAATTCGAACCTGCCTCCCCCACCGCACGGAAAGGATGAAGCTGGGACCAAGCTCCCACCTGTGGCTCCCACAATGCAGGGTGTGTTTTTTACACCCTCAGCAGATTTATTTTGATGGTTTGAGTCCAGTTTATCAGAACATTTCAGGAAAAGATGGCTGGATGGAACCCACAGGATCAAGCGCCAATTTAGTGGCTGATTATCCCAAGTTTAAGGGGCTTAGACTTTGCACAAACCCCCCTCGGACCCCTCCTGCAGCGGCGAGGCTTTGGCCGTTGTAAATAACAACGCAACGCCCCACGTTCCAGCTCACCTTGACGCACCGTTAGCAGAGGAGAAATACAATCCCTCCTGCAGCCTGCTTTTTAAAAACAATTTGTGGCACAGTCACAAATAGAAATGACATTTGAAAGGGGGAAATAGAGCAGCCACACAGTTTCAATAAAACCCAGAGCTGAGCCTCTTAAATTCTGCTCCTTTATGTGCTTCTTTGACAGCGTTATGCACCCCGGTGATGGATCCAGGGAGAAACACAAAGCCAAACTCCACTGCCCGGTGGTGATTAGCCAAGAACAGCCTCCATGGCGTGGAGGAAATAGCTCGGGTCAGTTTACAGCTGCTGCACCCCAGGACCAGGCTCTAGCTGCACCAGGGCCATTGCATCTGGTATAAAACACACAGCACCACAGGGGATCCGCACCCTGGTCCCCAAACCCACGTGGATGCCAGGTGACCATGGCAATGGAATGCCGTGCCAGGCTCTGCTCAGTTAATTTATATTATTATCTATTAATCCACTCGCAGCTATCACCTGACAGCAGCCAGAGCAGCCTCCAGGGACTGTGCACCAGCAGGATGGACCCCCTCGGGATTTCCTGCAGCCACCGCTGGGGCAGCCCTGGCGTCCCCATGGACATGGGCAGTGGCACACCGGGCAGTCACCAGAGCCGGTGGCACGGCCAGATCGAGGAGGACTCCTCCTCAGAGTCCCTGAGCTCACAATAACCCCTGGTAAACCAGAGCTGTGACATCCCCCCCAGGATGAAACCACAGAGCAGGATGCTTCCAGCTCCCCTGGTCCATGGGTTTCTGCCTCCTGCTCTACCCGCGGAGCGTGGGCAGGCAGCAGCCTC